AGGAAAGCAGTGGCATTTGATCATGCATGAGAAATATTCACCAATCATTGGGTCTCTTCCTACCCAGAGACGGCAGTGGATCGAGGGCCAAAATCTAGGATCGTAGTTGATGATATGATTCATGGAGACCCATTAGAAATTGATATACATGATCGGCAGATTGAATTTCTGAAAATTTCTTTGTAGTACCACAGTTGCATGGGGTGATTGATTGTAAAGAAGCAAGTTCCTCCAAGAGTATCTTCATTTTACCATAATATTGAGTAACCGAAAGGTTATCTTGAGTCAAATTGGCAAGATCTCGCTTCAGGTTAAAAATAGTAGTCTATTGCTTAGTTGAAATCTACTCTCCAATTCAGTCCAGAGATCGAAAGGGTTGGAGCAATAGAGAAGGCTGCTAGCAAGCGGTTTCTCGATGGAGTGTAGAAGCCACGACATAATCATGTCGCAACACCGATCCCAAAGGGCAGCAGCAGCATCCTCTTTGGGTTTGGAAAGGGCACCATTGGCAAAACCCAACTTGTTCTTGGCGTTGAGGGCACGGGTGATAGCGCGTCGCCAAGTGGTGTAATTGTCGCCATTTAATGGCGTATCAACAAAAAACTGGTTCGGTTGGTCTGAGTAGTGGAGAAAATATGGGGATGATGCATCTGTGAGAGCTTTGGTGACATCAAGAGGATCAGCCATGGAAACGTAGGGATGGCTTCAACCTATGCATCTGATACCATGACAAAAGGAATGAATGAAATTACAGCCCTTTCATTGAGTCTGTAAATATGGATACATCCATATATGTAAAAATTGTAAGCTAAATAAGGTTACTTGTAATTACAATGGAAAGAGTATTAAGGTTGAGCTGTTATCTTATTTTATGCCTAAGATTACTCATAATAGATAACATCAATATGTACATAAAAAATTAATAAAATTAATACAAAGAATGCGTTTGGTATGGGATAGCATTAAGGATATAGTATCAGAGTTGACTAAGATATCTTAAAATGTTACTGTGTTTGGTATAATACTTCAATAGAACAATGTATAATTTTGTGTTTAATTAAATGGTGAATGCACGTGGTTGCACGTGTAGTGGGTGATGTAGTGCAAGTGACAATGAGATGGATTTTGATTTTATGGCATTTCAACGAAAAATGAAACCTGCTTTGAATGAAGACAACATAGGAATATATAAACATATCATAATTAGTATATTTTAGATTTGTATTAGCTGTGACTTCAATTCCATCTGTCAATATATTCTCTAAGTGACTCGGGGTTTGACAATCTAGTTTGCAAAAATCTTCAACCTGAATGGAAGAACAAAATTAATTGTATGGGATCTCCATCGAAATTAGCTATGAAATTGACATTTATGTACTTCATTTTTCTTCTATCATATAAAAAATCATAAGTTAGCTCAAAAAAGAAAATATCAATGCCAAGATCATACGAAATTTATGCATGTGTGTTCCTTCACATTACCAAATCTACCTTGCTTAAAGAAGCTCTGATGTTATAATGAATCAGAGAGAGTGTGAGAGAGACATAATGTTGTGAAATTGGTGGCAAGGTATTCTTGTCACGAACACAGGCTGCGAAATGCAACCATTAGGAAGAGTAATAGTAGTAGTATGAACGATTACTTATAAATTTGACCTAAAACCTCCGTAAATGAATGATTTTAAGTGTTTGTGGTTTTACTTCAGACATGATTGGAGTAAAATATGAGAATCTATGTACTTGACCCCAAATAACCATAGGATAACATTTGATCGAGGCTCCGAGTTTAATGAAGTTTCACATTTGATAATTAGTACATCATTGTTATTTGGGAAAATTGCAGTCGAGGTACCAAACGTTTCGTTTATTAGCAGATTTTGCCCAAACCTTTAGTTTGTGCCACCCACAGTCCCAAACCTTTCAAAAATATGTACCGGGGGTCCAAATGGATGGAAACCTTCCGTTTGACCGTCAGTCGACCAATAAAATTGAATTTTGACCAATTTTTGACCAACTTAAAAGGGTAGAAAGGTAAATTTGCTATTTAATTCTATAACAAAACAGATAAACTAATATACCAAATAAAAATAAAAAAAATTACTATTCATCTTCTTCTTCCCCCCACCTCACCCCATCCTACCCCACCGCTTCTGTAATTTTCCCAATAAAAAATGGTTTCTTCTTCACCCTACCCATCTCCAACGTACTCCCACAGCAAAAATTCAACCACCAACACCGACGGCGACCTCGGCACCACCACCGCTAGTTATCTTTACCAGCATCTGAAACCCTTCATCCCACACCACGAAATCGCTGTCGTTTGGTCCATCAACCCTTCTACCTAATCTCCACTGCAAGCCCACTTTTATCCTTCTCTATACCCTCAAGCACCCAATCACTACCAGCAATAGCAACTTCAAGCAGCTGCACTCTAAATTTCACCTCAAATTTTCTTGAAATCAGTGATTGCCAAGGTCTGCAGTTCATCATCTTCACCCCCTAAATGGAAGAACCAGTCTGCTATTTCTATCTGCTGTTTTCTGGCTTTCTTTCTTCCATTTCGATTATTACATTATTTACAGTAGTTGCAGGGAACCCAGAAAACAGGATCTCATGATCCTATCAAAAATCAGGACTAGGTAGTAAAAAAAAAACTTTAAAGAGGCTGCCATGGCTAAATCCATGTCTTAGAAACCCAAACTCGTGAATTACCAGAACCATCTACTGAATACGACCCGAAATACCCTATTTTACAGAGGATAGAGATGAAACTCATTTCGAATACAAAGATAACTTTATAAAGACACGACACATTCGCACCGCACCGTAGGAGAAAGCTCATAAGCAGAAGCATCTCGATTTGGACCTTCCGACAGCCGGAAGTAGCAGGTTTAGTTTGGGGGTAGGTGGAGTGAGGGTGGGTAAGATGAGGAAGACGGTGATTTTTAATTTGGGGGTAGGTTGGGGATGGGAAGGGTGAAGAAGAAACCATTTTTTATTGGAAAAATTGCAGCAGCGGTGGGGTAGGGTGGGGTGAGGTGGGGGGAAGAAGAAGATGAATAGTAGTTTCTTTTATTTTTATTTGGTATATTAGTTTATTTTTTTATTATAGAATTAAATAGCAAATTTACCTTTCTACCCTTTTAAGTTGGTCAAAAATTGGTCAAAATTCAATTTTATTGGTCGACTGACGGTCAAACGGACGGTTTCCATCCATTTGGACCCCCGATGCATTTTTGAAAGGTTTGGGACTGTGGGTGGCACAAACTAAAGGTTTGGACAAAGTCTGCTAATAAACGAAAGGTTTGGTACCTCAGCTGCAATTTTCCCTTGTTATTTAGGACCCTTTCTCCATTTCAATTCAACTTGAAAGCACATAATTGTCGCTTTCCAAAATAGAGGGAATTGTCTGGAATTATATTTTTGTTCTTTTTTCCTTTTATGCATAATAAAGAGAATTCGTTTACTTAAATATAAACAAGGTTACAAAGAATATAAAATGCGAGACTACAATGTATATTTTTCTTCATAAAAATACATCGCATTTCGCTGTTAACTATGGCTAACATGTAGTAAAAGCTACGTGCATTTGGATTATTGCCAGAAGAAAAAAAGGCAAATAAGTTAAGAGCAGCAAGATTTCGATATATCTTGTCGGAGCCCTTAAAGGTAGCCCCTATTCTAAAGTCATTGGTAACCCGCACAGGGGCATGAGCAAAATACAATCTCTTCCTATGTCCATGCTGCAATGACCAAACACTTGGCCATTCCCCAAATCCAAGAGAGTTTAGCAAGAATGGAACTTGATAAAGTACTACTATTGAAGATTACGGAATACAACTCCTAGAAAATCCATCTTCAGAGAGGAATAAAAACTAAACGTTAACCATTTTACATACTCTTACAGATGGTGAAAAGGTTTTAAATTTGATCCGTACAAGGATAAGGTGAAGTAAAAAAAAAAAAACATGCACACACTTATTCTCTTTTATAAAAATTCATAGAAATACTATTTTGGGCTAGGCCTAATAGATGTAGGAAACTATTAAGTTGAAGTTGCCAAACATCCCATGCTACCGACTCCCCATAAAATGTCAACAGCTACAATTAATTAGAAGAGTATGAAGCGTGTCCAATCAAGTCCAATGATAATGATTGAAGGTGAACATTTAATAAATAAACTGATAAAATTATGGGGATAATTAGTACAAAACGTTCATACCTTTCAATATTATTGTGCAAAACGTTCATATCTTTCATTTTTTAACATTTTTGCCCCTATTTATATGTTTCATTGTAGAAAACACCATTTTCACTAATTTTTAATGTAAAATGACCAATATACCCTCATATTTAAATAAAATAAAAAGAAAAATAAGAACAAATTGCAATCTTACTCCTAAACTTTTTAGAAGTGCAAATGAGTCTTGAGGCCGCCATCTTAGCAGCCAAAAAACTTAGGATAACCGCCGCCCAAAGCGCCAGAACTCCATACCTCTGGAAAGCACTAATTTCTCTCTACACATATCACCCAACATCCAACCTTCATATTAACATAATTGGTCAAAATTACAAGCAAAAATACCCAACTTGTGAATGCAAATATTAGTGGCACCACTTGTTCCGGTGAGACCCATGTCATTCTTAACACACCAATCGATTATACTCACCAGGGTACCTCTTTTCAATATGTATAGCATTTAAGAATACTTCGAAAAGCAAAAGAACTACATCCTAATCCGTGTACAAAAAGGACGTGATAATACGAGTTAATCGGGCTTTCTTGGATGGAAATATAAATTTATTGTTTGTTAAATTTCTCTATGGGAAATGTTTAACAGTTGATGGCAGTTGTTTGTGATATGAGCTCCAGTGTTTTAGGGAGGTGATTAAGGGTTATTTGTAATTTCTTGAAAAGGGTAAATAGCACAAAACATCCCTACCTTTCAATATTATTGTGCAAAACTTCCATACCTTTTCATTTTTTGGCATTTTTATCCCTATTTCCACCTTTCATTGCTCAAAAGATCATTTTTATCCATTTTTCCAATAAAAAGACAATATTTACCCCCTATTCAAATAATATAAGAAGAAAAGAAAAAAAATAAAGAACTAATTGTAACTATAGCCTCAAATTTTCAAAAAATTACAAATCAGTTACAAATGTATACTTAAAAACCAAAAGTAAAAACAAAAATAAAGAAGAAGAAAAACGCCACCCTTTCCCTCTGATGGAGCCACTGGCGGTGGGAATGTTGCCTTCGAACAAGTTCTTCTTTAGCCACAATTCCTCAAGAGATGTAGCTCCACCAATTTCCAAAGGGATGCTACCATTTAACTTGTTATCGCTTAAATCCAACGTATCCAAGAGTTTCAATTGTCCAATACTTGCAGGAATACTACCTACAAATGAGTTTTTCGACATATTCAAGAAATGCAAGCTATTGAAATCTCCGATAGAACTGGGAATTTCACCATATAGTTGATTCTTGGAGATATCCAAAACTACAGGCCTGTGATGAGAACTATCCAAGGAGGAAGCAAGAGTACTATCCACATTCCCACTTAATTTATTATCTGAAGATAGAAGTTGCAGTAAACCAAGCTCGAATGGCCAAGAAGTAAGTTCACCAATCAAATAATTGTGGCTAATATCAAGAGTCAGAAGGTTTACACAATTCTTCATAGACTCGAGCAAGATTCCAGTGAGAGAATTCAATAACGAGAGCTTCCCAAGAGAATCTGGATCTTGGCCAGTGAAGTTTTTTTCAGAAAGATCCATTTTTTTTTCATACTTTTGATTTTAAGTATTATTTCTGACTGATTTGTAATTTTTCGAAAATTTAGGGTTTAGTTGCAATCAGTTCTTTATTTTTTTCTTTTCTTTTCTTCTTGTTTTATTCGAATGTGGAGGTAAAATCGTCTTTTTATTCGAAAAATGGATGAAAATGACATTTCGCGCAATGAAATGTGGAAATAGGGGTGAAAATATCAAAAAATAATAGGTAGGGACGTTTTGAACAATGATATTGAAAGATAAGGACGTTTTATGCTATTTTACCCTTATTGATAAATTTAGGAGTAAGATTGCAATTTGTTCTTTATAATTCATTTCTGTTTTTATTTGAATAGAAGATTATATTGGTCATTTTACATTATAAATTGGTGAAAATGACGTCTTCCACAATGAAACGTGGACTTGAGGTGAAAATGCCAAAAAAATGGAAGGTAATAATGTTTTGCATAATAACATCAAAAGGTAGTGATAATTTGTGCTAATTACCCAAAATTATGGCAACACTTACCAAACTTCGCCAGCATAACCATACTTCCTAAAATTCGCCAACTCATCAGCATATACAGTATCCCAATAACTTTGAAAACCCAGAAATGATGAAATCAGCTTCAGCATCTAGCTTCTCCTCGTTAGAATTGCTCATTGCAAGAAGGAAATTTCACAAATTTCGGATAATTGCTGATAGCTAGAATTTTGGCAACTATAATTCCTTTAAACAAATTGTATTAGTGTTGTGGTTGAAGGGCATCACTTCCAAACACAAGAAATTAATACTGATTGGTTCATTATAAGAACTTCTCTCTACTGTTTATTCTGTAAATTATCAACTTGTTGATAAAAAGTAAACTTTGTCCTTATTAAATTGTTATACTGTAACAACTAATACAATTTTAAATGCTAGCAATACAAACTATGCATTAAAAATTAATAAAACACATAGGCTGACATAAAATAAAAGCATAGATTATCATAGNTACACATGACAAATAAAGTAAAATCAAGTCCGCACATTACATTAACTCTTGCTAATTACGAGGTGTCCATTTTCTTCCGCACTTTTCTCTTGAAGGATCATTGATTTCTTAACGAAAAACCACAAAATTGAGAGGATTAGTGAAGTAACAAAGAGGACTTCTATTTTGAGGTCGTCACACCACCCCCCAACAAACCCTCACCCAAAACAAAAGAAAAAGAGTACAGCTGATGCCCAAAAATGCAGCATACCTCATCTATAAATCCAAGGTAATTAATAGTATTTCCTCAAATATAACATTTTGGCATTTTCCAAAATCTATCCCTATCCTACAACTATCGTATACAAAGCATACCTCATAAAATACCTTAACCTAAGCAAAGAAAAAGTAATCATGTTTGGTTATAAATTATACAAAAAAAAAAAAATAATAATAATAATAATAATAATTAAAGTTAAAAACACCAAATTGCCAAATAAAAAAGACCTTCAAATAAACATAGAGATAAAATATGAAAAAAGTATAAACCTGAAGTTATTGAGGTGTTAGTCTCTGTCTTTGGGTAGAGAAAAAATCTCGCCAAACTATGAATTTTTTTTGGTTGGTTGTCAATATCTTTGTCTCCGCAAGTGGAGTTCTTGATTAATACAGGTAAAATTGACAACCCAAAGAAGATGTCAAATTCTGAATTCAAAGAAAAACGAAAAGAAGAAAGTGGGTAGATTTGGTGGTGGAGCGACAGTACATCAAAATGTCGGTTTCCACCGTCAAAGTGGAAGTTGCAATCAATCAGTCGCCACCATCGAAGTAACAACTTTTGAACAATAAAAAATGCTACTTGAAAAGAAAAGCATATCAGAGTGACATCTAATTCTCCAATTGTGCAAAAAATTATCCTATAAACAAATTTTCAACATTTTCTTTTAAGGAAAAATAGATCTAGAAAGAAACAATATAGAAACAAATAGAAAAAGCAGAAGAAATGAATGTTGTGGAACTACACCAACAAAAAATAATAATAATAATAAATAAATAAATAAAAAATAACTTACCCAACACATTTCCAAACGGCTCGGTCAACACGGCTAGGCTTAGTTAGAAATTGGCTTTTGTACAATAACAAAATCCACTCTTCTATATTTACTTAGATGTATTTTGTCAAGAATAAGCAAATTTTAATGAAAAACTTAGACTTCCCTCTCTCTCCCTCCTCCTTTTTTTTTTTTTTTTCCTTCTTCTTTGATGGGTGATTATAATCACCCTCATAAACGCCTAGTCAAAACTACTCGCTCATTCAAATAAGCACTTAATGTTTAAGTGCAACTCTCTACTTATTTTTTGAAAAAAGTACTATATTTTTTGGCCTTCGCTAAACACGAATATTTCTTCAAAACAGAAGAAATCTGAAAGAAAAACTGAAATTTGGCATTGTTTCAAGAAGATGATACAATTGTATACTTTGTTTTTAGTTACTCCAATTGTCTCCCTTATTAATCTTAAAATAGAATTAATAGTAAATACTAAAGAACGACCAATCTCAAACAATAATATAGAGTTTGTGACCACTTTAGGATAACTGAAGGTTGATTGACCAATTGAAACAAGGTCAAACGTTCCGTTACTATTTAAGTTCTTACATTGATTATTTGTTCACTTATAAACCCCCAAACTAGACAACATACCGGTTAATTTACACGCTATCTAAAATTTAGACTTGTTAATTCACATAAAATAAAATAAAAAATTAGATAAATAATTGAGTGCATCACACTACTACTTTATTATTACACTATTATTAACTGTGGAGAATTTGCGTGGACTTGCTTTTGTAATCACCCTCACCCACAAAAAGATGATAATACAAGTTTGACTTATCACAAATCCACGACTTGGAATTGGAGGATATGTTACTTTAGCACTTGTTAAGGCATACAAGTGGTAAGCTAAGGTCACTCGAGAGATGATACAAGTTTGATCTACTACCTACTTCACTGTGAGTGTCACTATATGTGATTTTGTCACGTCATACTCTTACTGTTGACATGATAACATCATAAATTACCATACACTGTGTGTGTATTATAATTCTTATTTACTGTGAATAGAAGATCATGTTTGTTAGTTAATAAAATGGTCAACTATTAATGCATGTTACAAGATTCGAGAGGCACTTGTTGAGTCTCTTGTTAGATCACACATGGATCTTTCCAATATGTAATGAACTAATACAGATTGTGAGGGATATGACAATTGATAGGAAAATGACACTTTGATAGTAATATCTCATTTTTCGTAATGGCTATTCGAGATTTTACAACTTCAAAGTAAGATTAAATAAATACATAAAATTGAGCAAATATAGTGAAAATTTCAACCTTCACCATTTTTCTATATGGTTCTAATTTGACAGTTGTCTCCCTCACGAGGTAAGTGGATTCACTAACTTGGCTTACATGTTTTGTATGTTATCGTGGGGTAACATGTATTTTAACGGCGTAGGTGTTATTTCTACAATTTAGAAACACAACACAAATTTAATTTTAAAAATAGAATTAAAAAATAAAATTAGTTCTTGAATAAAAATCCTGAACTAAAAATTGACAAAAAAATCTCAATAATTCCATAAAATCCATACACAAAATAACATAGATGGAGTTAAATTTCATTGATCACTGAAATTATAATTACGTCATATTTTACTCACTGAATTTTAAAATATTTTCGTTTGGTCACTAAACTTATATTTTCATCACATTTTACTTACTGAACTGAAAAAATCTTTCGAATGATTATTAAATTTTAACAAGTTGCACTCCATCAATCACTCACCATGTCATTTGTCATTGAACTTATACCTCCACCATACTTTACTCGCTGAACTTTAAAATGTTTCTGAACGGTCACTGAATTTTATAATATTTTTGAGTAACGTTGATTTTTTGTGAAATTCGACTTAGATTAAAATAATAAAATAAATATCGACTAGATAATGAGACTCTCAATCTAAAACGAGAATGTCGATATCGGTGAAAAAGATATAATTTTTCTAGCGTACAAAAGTTATGTTCAAATGGAAATAAGAATACTAGTTTCAAATTGACATAAAGCTTAATTTAGCTCATAATCTTCCTTTACGTCGAAAAGTAAAATAGAAAATTATTTGTATTTTATTTCTTTATTTCGATTGAAATCGTAGACCAAAATCAAGAAAATTTAAAAAAAGAAAAAAATTATCTCAAACAAGCTATGTAATTTTTGGTTAGAGTAAAAAATATTAATCAATAATATCAAAATATATTTTTTAGAGTCATCACAAGGTAAATCAAGAAGAAAGAAGAGCGTCGTTTCATGTATGACATTTTATAAGGAAAATTGCAGCAGCGGTCCCTAATCTTTTATAAATATGCAGTAGAGTTCCAAATGGATGGAAACCATCTAGTTGACCAACAAAAGAAGACTTTGACTAAGTTTGATCAAATTGAAATTGGTAAAATAGCAACTTTGTTATTATATACATAAAATACTGTTTGACTCAATTTAAAACAAATTAAGTGAAGGATAAAATAGTGAATTTACATTTTTCGAAAATTAAGAGGGTGTTTGGGATGCATTTTTATGTAAAAAATGTATTTTTGAATAGTAAATCGATGGAAAATATGTGGTTAAAAAATAAGGAATTTTTTTTGGTTTATGTGTAATATTATTTTAATAAAGAATGTGTGATTGAAAAGAAGAGAGAGAAAATGCATTTTGAAAAAAATGGGTACCAAATGGGGTACAAATAAATAAAATAATTAAACAAAAAAATTGCTTGCCTTCTCCACTCACCCAACCCCACCCCACCCAACCTTCACTTCCAATACCCAACCTCTCCGTCATTGCCGACGAGCCCACAGCTAGCAAACCCACAACCGGCCTTCCCCGTCAAAATCCATGCCACAACAAGTTGCCAACATGGCCTGTCACCGATGCCATCACCAAATTGCATCCCCACATTTTTCCATTTCGATT